TATGCTAGTAGATGTAGCTAAATATGCTAGTAGATGTAGCTAAATATGCTAGTAGATGTAATCTGCAGTCACTTCTTCAGCTCGTCCTCCATCCCTTGTCTGCAGCGGTATAATTATATTGTCCTGTTTGAGCTCTGACAGGTGGTGTTCCTACATGTTTAAATTAAATCCACGATGCTTGGAGAAACTACATTATCTCGTACTGTTCACACACAAACAAACGCCAGTTCTGGTTCTCGCTGGAAGTTGCACCCATAATTCCTGCAAGGCAGCATGGAGGATAGGAATAAGGTGGATAAAAGTCTCTGTTAAAATATCGGAACAATATTAAATTACACTGCAGCTATTCTGAGAAAAAAATCACAGTAGGACTGGAAGTCCACACTCGTCTTCAGCTGCGAGTTGGATTTGATTTTTGCTGAATCAGTAGTTTGTTTGTTTTGTGTTTGTTTCTTTAAGTCAACTCATTTTTCAAACAGCTCCAGCCCATACATTTCCCTTTGTGTTTCTGCTTAATGTTACGTTACCTCCATGCTGGTCCACTTAACTTCTTCTGTCTGCATGTTTGCAAAATGACCTCACGGCCAGGCTGCATCACACCACATTACACAGCTGCAGCAGACTGTGAGCCATTTGTTCAGCCAACTCCTTCAGACACTTCCTGCCAACTTCATTTTTTTCTTTTATTTTCCTTAAATTTATTGAATGTAACAACAGATATCAAAAATATTTACTAATATACTGTATTCCTATGCTCAAAGGAGTGGGAAGAATTATGCATGTACATGTTCTCGTTGTATCTCGGTGCAATGATAATAAAGCTTATTCTGATTCTAATTCGAATAAAAGTGCATTCCAAAAAGCAGAACGCCTGTGACTATCAACTAATTGATATTTTTAGCTTTTTCATTTAATCATTGACATTTTTGAATAACTGTTCCAGAGTATCTTCAACCAAGAATACATTTGTATCTCAGCATATAATACAAATTCCACCACTCCAGATGTTTTGCATTTATCGTTTGACATCCGTCACATAAACATTAATAATAGGTGAGAATAACAATACTAATGATTATTCAATTCTGACATTCATCTATAATCATTGTTTTATACTGTGTTTTAAACTGCTTCATGGACACTGCTTGAGCTCCACATTAAGCCAGAAACAGAAACTTTGTCTTGTTCTAATCATCTTTGTTTGGTATTGTAGTGTGCTAAAACGGCTACAAGTTAGCTTCAGCTGCACTACAATTTTATTTAAATAACGGGTTCTCTCTTTTTCGAGCTTTACAGATATGTGACAGAGGTACTGTGCGTAGATGGTTTAATCAGTGACATGAGACGTTAATTTTCTTTGACCCATCAAAATAAATGTGGTCATTTATTAACAGAATCAAAATTTAACATCAAAACATTGTACACTTGATTAGACTGATCTGCTTCTGATTAATAAAACTTGGCACGTTTTACTTAATAAAAACAACAGACATTTCTGAAGGCATCTGGATTAATTACTGGCAAGATAGAAGTTTAAAGATGGGAAATTATGGAGGAGTTTAAAGGAAATATGTGGAGGAAGATGTATGTCTGTAGACCAAAACAACACGCTCCTTTCAAACGCAGCTTGCCGTGGTACACTTGTAGTGAAGCTCTTGACGACTCTTTACCTTGGTAGAGGATGGGTCCACTGCGGTCAAGAGGTCCCTGCCACGCTACCTTTCAGCGTCTCCTCAGGGCGGCTGCGACTCGGCAGAAGTCGTGAGATACTCCGTTCCACAGAACAAACTTCCTCAGCATTATAGGGCATTCACCGGGTGGAGCCACAGCGAGGCGCCGCGACTCCTGCAGAGATGGATGGCTCCATCAGACTGGAAAACTGAGTCCGAAGTTCCACTCAGCAGTGGAAAACTCCAGAACTACTCCACAGTACTCCAAGAGACTCAGAAGACTGAGTCTGAGAAAAACTCAGAAGAGACTCAGAAGAACTCAAAAGACTCAGAGGAACTCCAGAAGAACTAACGGAACTCACCGAACTCAGAAGAACTCCAGAAGAACTAACGGAACCAACAGTTCCAGGAAGTGTCGACTTTTAAAGAGTTCTGCTTCCGGTCACTTTTAGTAAGTCCTGATTGGTTGAAGGAACCAACAGGGGTGTGGTTTTAGTGACGTCAAAGGGTTTTTACAAGTCGAGAAAACAACAGAAATGTTTAGGAACAGACAGAGAAATGTTTTGATGAAGTGAGAAACACTACAGGTGCCAGTTCTCTTGTTTACTGTCTGACAGCTTTAAAAACATGACAGCTTGTTCCAACAACTTGTTTCTTGACTGTCTCAGACTTTTGACCGACATCACTACTTCTCATTTCAGACAGAAGGTCAAAAATGCATAATTACTTTGTAAAATAGACATTTAACTTGATTTCTAATTTAAATGAGGATTAAAAAATCATTAATACTGTTTCACAGTTGATTTAAAATGAGTGGTTCAATTCAACATTTAGAAATTGTATGAACTAAACAAACTTTTGATTAACAAGATATTGTAAAATAGTAATGATAATGTAAAAAAGAGAGTGTTCTTTCAATTGTTTAGTTCAGGATACAATTAGAAAGTCTCTGGATGAGCTAATTTGTATTTCTGGATTCAAATCAATGAAATAACAGTTCCTGTCCCATGAAGGTCTTCAGAGGCAGGTTTTGATTGAAGCCTAGTTCACTACAGTATTGACATACTGTACCTGTATACCTCCAAACTTATTAACTTCTTCCCTTTTCAAATAGTTTTGAATATTTTCTTGTAGCTGTTGTTTTTTTTTAGCTTTATACATTATTATAACTGTTTGAAATGTAACTATGATTGTAAGTTTGAGCAATTTTTATTGTATAAATAGTGGGTTAGTGATCCAGGACTTGTTAATTACTCCTAAGGCTCTTTTATAATTATGATTAGTGACTGCACTGCTTTGTAGTTATTAACCCAAACCTCTGCACAGTAAGCTAATTATGGTCAAACTAAGGAACAACACAGAATGCAGAGTGCTTTCTCATCCAACACGTTTAGTTTTATTCAACATAGAACTACTTTTAGATATTTTACTTTAAACATGTCTGATGCGATGTTTCCAGTTCATCTTATCATCAATAATAAATTAACTTCATGTACTGTTTCAACAATTACTTGAGTCATCTGCATATTCAGTTCTCTATTTGTTCTACAGACCCCAAACAGCATTATTTTGGTTTTGCTCACATTTAAAGATGATCTGGTACAATCAAACCATATTTTTTTTAGCTTTTCCATCTCATCGGTGACATCCCCCCCCCCCCCTTGTCCTGTCCGGACATTGGTGACATCTTTTAACAATTGTTCCAGAGTACCTTCAACCAAGAATACATTTCAATGCATACATCATCAGCATATAATACAAATTTCACAACTCCAGATATTTTGAATTTTTCATTTAAATACATTATAAAGAATTTAGTACCCAAAACTGACCCCTGTGGAACCCCATAAGCAATGACCAAACACTGAACACATCCAACATTTTTCAGTCAGGTCATCTGGACAGTTTCTTTTTTTTGTGCTGAAACATTTCGCTTTCAGTCCGGAAGGCTTCATCAGTCCAGGAAACAAACAACAAAACTGATTCTTCCCCCAACAGCTTACTCCAAAGTGGAACAAACCAGTTCTGCTTGTAATAAGATGAACACATATTACCCAGTTTAACGTCCTGTTTCAATTCTTGTTGTATATTATAAAAACTGGTAGATGATCACTGATGTTGTTGGTTAATAATCCACCAAATGAATTACTAATAATATCATTTTTTTAAATATTTATTAAAGTAGCTGTACGAGATGATTCTACTAAGTCTGATAATTTTTGGAAAAAGACAACTGTGGATTGTGTTAAAATCATTGTGATTGTTGGTATTTATCAAGTCAATGTTAAAATCTCATTTGTATCTCATACAAACAAAATCTTCACAGCAAAATCTGTAGTGTTGTTTTTTCAGTGTTAATAATTTTGAGTTGATGGGTGTTGATTTGGCCCTGTGATGGACTTGTGACCTGTCCAGGGTGTACCCCGCCCCTCGCACAGTGATCGCTGGACATGGGCACCGGCGACCCCCGTGACCCAAAATGAAAGAAGCGGGTAAAGATAATGGATGGATGGAAAATAACACAATGTATGTTAAAAAATAAACACATACAAAAGGGGGAGTGGTGGCGCAGCAGCTAGAGAGGGTGAGCCTGTGATCAGAGAGTCTCCAGCCAAACCAGGTTCAACTCCCAGACCAGCAACATCAAACTGTGGGTGGGAAAGTTGCAACACCCACCCTGGGCACATGAGCAAGGCCCCCCATCAACCCCAGGGTACCCCACGCGGCAGTCCCCCACCCCACACGCATGAACCCATACACACAATGGGAAAAATGCAGATAATTAATTTCCCAATTGGGGATTGATAGAGTACAATAAAAAATAAATAACACAATTTTAGTTTTAAAAGCACTTAATTGCATCAGAAAATAACAATGTATATTAAAAAAAATAACACGTACAGTGAAAGGGAATAACACTATTTTGAGTTAAAAGTGCACTTTAGTGGTGTCATAAAACAACACCAAGGGTGTCAAATATTTAACACTATTAAAGAGTTAAAATATTAACACTTTTCAAAGTGTACTTTTAACTCAGGATCTGTGAGAATTATATACAAAATTCAGAAAAAGTGTCAAATTTAACACTCTGTGAGTTGAATTAACACTCCTGTTTTTGCTGTGT